GTAGCAGCAGGAATCGGCTACGCTCTGGTAGCGCTAGGTCCCTCTCTCTCCCTCTTCGTTTCCGTCATTTCCAAAAAGCCTTTCTTGATTCTCACTGTTCTCTCCAGGTACGCTCTCTTTCCTTTCGATCCATGCATAATCGTAATTCGCACCTCGCTCATACACGCTACGTTGCTATTTCTTTGATTTGCATTGTTAATTTGTTAGTTACTCTGCACTGCAACTTAGGGTTTTGTGATCACTGTAGTTGCTTCAAATGACGCTTTGATTGTTTGATTCAATTTTGTGGATGCAGTACACTGTTGTGGCTTATAAGTTTGATTGTGCTGTCTGGAATATGGAGGGGTTTCTTGCCCCTGAATACAACAGCATGGTGGCCTTTTGGAATACTTATATTATCATCTGTTGCTTTCCAAGAAGGGCTCAGGCTTTTCTTCTGGAAAATATATAAGTAAGCTTATGTTGCTGTCTGCTATGCTCTAAATTGTTGCTTTCAAGTGTTTTGTTATTCTTGTTAGGTTCAATTAAAATTTGGTCCTTACACCTAGCTTCATTTTTCATTTTAATCCCTATATGAAAAACTGTAGTTTTAGTCTCTTCATGGGAAAAAGAAATTGCAAATTGAATCCTTCTGTTTGCCAAAGTTATGATGGTATTAAGTTTGGTACTGTTCATTTTCTTTTTGGTCCATGGACAGGAGTGTTCCAAAGCACAATCAAAAACTAATCTGTGCTTGCGGGACGTGATTTCTATTGACCAAACATTATTTTAATACTAACGGGAATTGATCTGAGAAAACCAGATCAACCCTCGTGTCTTGGGAGCCTGTTCTTCATTTTAGACCCAGGAATTTTACACCATTGTGGTCCTTCCCTACATTAAAAATTCTATATTTTGGTCTTTACACTTGATATCTTTTTTTTTTTGGTCCCTAATGAATAAAATTCTAACAGTGTTATAACTTTAATAAATGACGGGGACTAATTTGTAATATTTCATACAGGAACCAGAATTGAGTTCTTTTATATATGGACAAAAAAATAAAGAGTGCTATAACAAGAACAAAATTTATAATTTAACCTTGCTGATTTTATGCTTTTACAAACTCTTTTACAATATGATGAAGGAAATGTCTGACCGCTTTGTAGAAACTGTTTGTACTTTGTGCTGATATGATATATTGATGTTTTTTTTCTGGATTATTTTTTTCCCCTGTTGATCTTGTGTAGGAGGTTGGAAGATATGTTAGATGCTTTTGCTGACAGAGTATCAAAACCACATCTTCTCCTGACAGATAAGATGCTGATTGCTCTGGGTAAGAAAATGGAGGCTTTAGGCCTATTTTCCAATCCTTATGATTGCATTTGTTTGACCAACTTTTAATAAGTCTATTAACTGTTCGCACTTATCAGCTGCTGGAACAACCCTGCTGGTACTGCTTACTCTGTTTTCCCCTTATTTTGGCTTTTAAGTAGATCCTTTTTTTTAATAATTTAATTGTATGATAAAATGAACCACTTGTTAAGATGTTATTGAGAAAAAGGTATGGCCTATTTGAATAAGATCTATATCATGAATAGTGTGTTTTTTAGTAACATACATTTTGGATATTTTCCACAGCTGGTGGATTGGGTCATGGTGTTGCCCATGCTGTGTTCTTCTGCATCAGCCTATTAACTCCTGCATTTGGTCCAGCAACATATTTTGTTGACAGGTGTTCTCGGGTTCCATTTTTCCTTCTTTCTGGTGAGTTTCCCCACTGTTGGTTGTTGTATACATGTATATGAATAATGTGGGATTCTACAGCTTCAAATGTTTTAAAATTTTGATACCTAAGGATTTATTGCACATTTATTTCATTAATGTGAATGTAATATGTATAGAGTTGGGTCAATAAAATATTGAATAGGACTTTCTTATTAAGCCCTAGTTCTTATACATAGACAACAGTAACTGGGATTTTTTAATTATATATAGATATGGTATTTTTAATATTTCATTTCCTCCAATTGGTTCATCTTTTTTATTTTATTTTTTATACATTGCAGCCATTATTGCTCTTGCATTTGTCACAATCCACACTTTCTCAATGGTCATCGCATTTAATGGGTACACAGAAGGGAACAAAGTGGATCGGTATTTTGTTCCCATTGTTCACATTGTTGCCGGAATGTTGGTAAAATTTCATGCTTTGCATTATATTTTTGCCCTATCATTTACATCTGTAACTAGCATTTTCTTATTTTGTTCCATTATCATTTACCAACATCAACATATAAGCTGTTGTCTAGATAATATTTACAACACGAGCATATTTACAATGTAAGGCCGGTGTCTGATCAATTAGTGTACTCTGGAATCCAGAAAATTTATTAAATGGTCTTCAGTATGTTTTATGGCATAGTTTAAATTTGAAACCCTTTGTAGCTTGTTATTTGGATTATCTGATGTTTATAATCTAATTCATCCCTTCAATTTGAAAATCATATAACTAAGATTAGAAACACTCAGAACTTTGATGTGAAATTAGTCTAATTGTAACGAAACTGCAACAAAACTGCTGTCATGTTGCTTTCAGTTTAATTTGTTGGTTTCCACAGGTTTCCTGACCTTGTTTCAACCTTGTATGGCCATGTGCTTTATGTTATCAGATGGTGTTGGTCTGTTGGGGGCATAAAGCAGTTCTCATATACCTTGAGAATAGCCATTGATAAACTATCATATATTGATCTGCTGATAAAGCCACAAGAAAGGCAGCTCACAGATATCAATCTAGATTTTACTTTTTAGTCAGTATAACTTTTGTTTTGTAGATTTGTGAAATTGGCAAGATGATTAACTCAATCATGGTAGGATTAGGAAAAGTATATCAGTCCAAACAACCTATAGTGAATGAAGCTCGAATAGCTGACAATGTTGACATCTAGTGGTACCTGTCTGCTTGAATTTGATTAGTTGCAGAAAACATTGAAACTATAATAGAAAAGGCCCCATGGATATACTTTGACATAAATTGGGAATGTTATCATGATTTCTTATGATGTTTACTCGCCTTCAATTAATGCTTAAAACTGTTCTGGTTTCTTTGACTCGCTGTTTCCTTATTCAGACTTTGGTGAATTTGGCACCGGGGGGTTGCGCTGTTGGCATCCCTCTTCTTTATATCGTTGCAATCTTGACCTCGATTCATTGTGGGAGGATGGTTTGGAGAAGATTGACAGAAAACCCAATCAGGCCGGGTCATTCATAATAAGCGATAATCTTTGTAAAAAAAAAATCATCTATTGTTACTTAGTCCTCCCCATTCTGGTCGGAATACGTAAGATACCAGTAGTCATTATTGCATGAAGGCTGTTTCCTTGACGTTATGCTCTCATCTATGCGGGGCCTCCATTTGTCAGTTTCATTTATCATCACTGCGATCAGGTTTACTGAAGTTTTGGTTGCAGATGCGGGTTTTCTGAAATCTTGGTGGTTTAGCATTATGAAAAAGAAAATCTAGTAGATTAGGAGATTATTGCTTAGATTGGGATTTTATGCCCCCAAGATGAAATTTCATTTTATGTGGAATGTTAATTGGGTGTAATACAGTAAGTGTATATATGCGTTATCTCCTTGAGATGAATGCTAATCTTCAAGTTACACAACGCACCCCCAAGTAAATTATGCACTTCAAATTCAGTTCTAGTACAGCCATATATGAAATATGTTAAAATAAAGTCTTTTTACGTGCACAAATTATTTTAAGGCATTGTATGAATCGTGTTTATGGATAATAAATTATATGAAATATATTTTTAAGTTGAAAATGGTACACATGCAAGAAGCACATAAATAGTTCAAGGGGGATTGGTTGACAAAATTAATCGAACAATGCACGCAAATCTTGATATCGAAGAAAATCAATTGTTTAGTTGGTTTTAAGGGCAAGCAATTGTATTGTAGTATTCAAGCTACGATTAACGGACACCTACCCAATTTTGATCAAAGTACAAGTCATCTATCCCAAAAATAACTTTCACGTAGTAGGATTTTGTTTTGAGAAAATAACATTTAACAATTTGCGGTAGAGCAATTTTGTGAAATGACCTACTTGGCTGGGCACTGTCCACCTTCCAATGTTCCTCTTGTTCTTCTTTTCTCAACGAAAAAATTCACGAGTTTTTTTTATAATAAAATTAGCAGATAAAGTATTTAAGTAGTTAATAAGTAATTGATTTAATTAATCTATTTGATAACATTAGTTATTAAATTAATTAATAAGTATAAAATTCTGTAGCAGGTGGAGCCAAGCCATGAAGACCGACAGTTGATTCTCCAATAAAGCTCATCATTCATATGCATGCTGATGCAATAGGCATGCAATATTCTCGTCGTAGATAATGTTTCCCTCGTTTTTTATTTTTGATGCATCAAAAAATTAATAAGTATAGAATAACTTAAAAAATATATTAGAAAATTTAGTCATAATTTGAAATATATTACTTTTTATATTATAGTTTATTTTAAATAATGTATTATTGTTAAAAAAAATTAATTTTATTACCATTTTAAACATTTTTATTAAATGAAATTAGATAATATAAATAAATATAATAATCAATCTTGCATTAAATTTTGTTTGTGTCAGCGTTAATGCAAATCCATTTCCATTGCCAATTAATTGGCTAACTGAATATGGAAGAGTGCACAGTGCAAGTGCAGCAGCACTTCCCAAAAGTATACCAACCTAAACCATCTTAACTTTTCTGCTGGAATAGAAAACGTCACCATTTTTTTTTTCTCTAGTGACGATGCACTAACGTAGACAAGGTATATGCTTCTTTAATTGGATTTTGAGGAAATATACCTTAGACTTCACCATAAAAATGGCATGCTCTTGTAAAGAAGACATGTCAATCCTATTGTTAGGATGTTTATCATTCAGTGTCAATCTTGCTTTTCAACCTGTTTGGAGAAATTACAATCACGTGCATGAGTTATATCAAGAGAGATTCCTCCAGCATGAAAACATGACCATTAAATTCTGAATCAAGCCCTTCATGTCCATCAAATTCCTTCAGTCCCACCAATGTCTCAATTGGAATCTCATGCTCTTGATCCAAAGAAAAATCTTCTCTAGCCAATGGAAGGTCATAGTTTGACTCATGATCCGCATTAAGAACAGTCTTATCAACAAATAACAATTTGTTGCCAACTTCTCTGCCTTTCAATACTACTTTCTCATCATTGAATTCTGAAGTTCCTATCTCTGCTGAACCTTTAGATGACATAGTTATCCTTGAAGGTTCAGAAGTTACACTGCATAAACTTCCATGGTCTTTATGTTTACATTTCTTTTTCCTTGATGTTATTGATCTAGAACCAAACACAACCCTTCTCCTAGGTGAGATACAAAAAGGGTTCCAGGATTCCTCACAATTCCAGTTGAATTTACCTTCAAATGGCCAAAAAATTGGTCCATCAGCATTGAACTCTTCCATGTTTTCAATTTCTAATAGATGCTCCAGTGAAATATTATCTTCTGATATGTCACAATGTATTCCATTGGTGCTAAGAGGAGTTGAAGGGTTCTCAGGTAAACATCCATTAGGCTTTGAATCTGAGATCCACTCAGAGTCTTCACTTTCAAGAGTGAGTGAAGAATCACAGTTGAAGTCACACTTGATGCAAAGATGAGTGGAACTGTTGTTAGATGAACATCCACATTTAGACCTTGATCCTGAGGTCTCAGAACAGCCACACCGAGAATTTGTAACGGTTGCATCATTCACAATTCCAAACAAACTCATTGTAGTAGCTCTTTTTTTGTTAATATCAGTGACACGCTGTTAAATTCGATTAATCAGAGGGATAATAAGGAGCAAGAACAAATAACAAAAGAAAGACAGAAAGAGGAATTGATAAATTTCTCTTCAAAACAGGACAATTGTACACCAAAAAAAAAAAAGTTAACAAAATAAATCAGAGGAAATAGATTAAAAAGTTTAAATTTGGTAGTAATTTTTTTTTTTGGAATGGTTGGTAAATATGCAATTATGCATATGCATATGCATATTTAGATAGTTTTCAAGTCAGCATCACATTTATAGACTATAACATCCATTGCAATATGGAATGAGATGAAAAGTTTATTGAACTTTAAGAGTTCTCTGATTAAATAATGCCATCCATTTCCCCTGTCGTTGTGTCTAAGAATTTAAACTCATGAACTTCTTCTAAATTCTAATATCATTTATAGGATCTGTAACTATCATTAATCCAAAAGAAAGTGTAACTTTATTACCTTAAATAGTCTTAAAATTACATTTAGTTTAAGAACTAAGAAGCCACAAGAAAGGAAGCTAACACTTACCAAATAAAGCCAACAAACAACCACCATAATAGTCCTTCCATTTCTTAAATAGTGTAGTGGTTGGGGAAATGGTTTGGGTAGATGCACGAGACCAAAATTCGATAAATATATATATATATATATTCTTCCATTTCAAAATAAATGACATTTAAGATCTTTTCACAAGAAAAACAATAAGTAAATAATTTAAGAAGTGGAACAATCTCGTTAAATTATCTTTATTGGTTAGTGAAAAATTGATCATCATAGTGCACAAATCATTGTATTGATTATTTATTTGGAGTAATAAAAGTTTCACTAAAAATTTAAACATCACTTAATGAAACTGTTTTGTGTTAAAAAGTCACTTATACTAAAACGGAAGCGTACAAGAAGAAAAGAGACCAAAGCTCTCATCTTTACAGGAAAAGGGCACAAACAAATATATATAGCTGAGAAAACATACCATTTAACTGGGTGAAGAACAAAAGGAAGGAGAAAATTATAGACAATCTACTCAAACTAACGAAGTGTTATGGAAGATCATGGGTCACACAGAGTCTATTTGTATAAAAGCTAGAATTGTATTTGAGAATTTTTTTTTACTAAAAAATTATTTATTTTCGATAGAAAAATTCTTTTAAATTTATATCTATAAGAGCTTCTAACAATTTTTTAGTGGAGCAATGATTCTAGCATGTAATTTTTAATTTCATAACAAAACATTATAGAAGCCTAATTAATTAACCTAATGCAACCTACAACGGATGCATGCATAGTAAAAATATATGAAAGATAAAAAATAATAAATAAAAAAATATGAAGAACTGCATTGAAAACCCGTTACCTTGCTTCTACTATGAAAAAAACATAACTTGGATCTGAAGCTGATCAAAGCTAACAAGAGACTTTGAGCGGCACATAAATTAAAAAATAAAGCTTTGGTTGATAGAAAATGCCTAGAAAGAATAGAAAGCATTGCTTAAATAGCAGAAAATAAAAGACAAAACAGTGTCGTTTACTTGTATTGTAGTACTATTACAAGTTGCAACTTCAACCCAAAACAAAGCTTTGTTTTACTATTTCACGTCTAAATATTAAGCTCCATTGGCGAATTCGATGGTCCATTCATCGTTTGCCAATAAATTATTTCTTTAAGAATCTAATCAAATCATTTTCCATTCCATCAATATCCTTTGAAGATCACCAGCAACACACTCTTTTGTTACATTTTTTTACAACAAAACTATGAGCTAGGAAAGCTTTTTAAATTAGAAATAAAATCTACATAATTTTTAACAAATTTTATTTGGGTATGTGTAGGTAAAATTTAGGGTATCCATTTGTACACTTGGAGTCCTCAAAGGGTCACTGCAGTAATTAACTTCCTTGTATATACCACACTTTATTTTTGGCAAAGGAATATCCAAACAAACAACTTAAACCATATTAATTTAGGGCATCGAATACAACGTATGACAACGAGAACCCTCCATGCAAACCACGTGCACAAAACAACCTTTGATTGCATGCATGTCTTTAATTAAAAAGGTTATTGACCAAAAACGTTAAAAAAGAAAATAACAGCCCTAAGAAAATGGCGGGACCAACTATGCTCAAAAATCATCACCGTATGATCCCCCAAACCAAATATAGCTCTCTCATTTCCCATTCTCCTTTCTCTCATACCCTCTCTTCGCATTTTAGTCTTCGTTCCCCAATCTCCAAAGCTTCCTCTTTGTCTTCCCATGGAGATTGGGTAACACCAACATAACTCAATTCCACAACACAACAACCCCTTTGGATTATACATTATAATACATTCTCATTCTTATCGTTATTTTCATCAGTTTGTTATTATAATATATAATCCAAAATCAAACCAAACCAAACAAAACAATCTTCCAAAACAACCTTGCTTTTGTTTTGAGTTATTGTTATTGTTATTTGTATTATCATTCAAACCTATCATCCATGGGAAGCTGCGTGTCATCACAAGGAGGGAAGAGGAAGAGGGCGGCAAAGCAGCCCTACAAGACCGCCACGCCGAAAGGGTATGAGGCGGCACGGCGGTCGAGCGTGGTGGCGGCGCGTAGGTCGAGCGTGACGGTGCGTCCGCCGGTAAACGTGGTGGCGGACCCGAGTCCGGGGAACATATTCGATAAGTACTCGTTTGGGAAGGAGTTGGGGAGGGGAGAATTCGGTGTGACGCACCGTGTGGTGAACGTGGAGAGTGGGGAGGCGTTTGCGTGCAAGAAGATAGCGAAGACGAAGCTGAGGACGGAGATTGATGTGCAAGACGTGAGGAGGGAGGTGCAGATCATGAAGCACTTGCCTCAGCATCCCAACATTGTTGCATTCAAGGAGGCTTATGAGGACAAAGATGCCGTTTACCTTGTTATGGAGCTTTGTGAAGGTGGAGAACTCTTTGATAGGATTGTGGCTAAGGGTCATTACACCGAACGTGCTGCTGCTAATGTTACCAAGACCATACTTGATGTTTGCAAGGTATGTATCTTATGTATGGCTGTTTCTTTTGTTTGTATTATTGGAAATGGAAATCAAAATCAACGTGCATGCATGCATGATTGCATGGCTGTGTTTTCTTCTCATAGTTTTGGTTTGTGTTGTTGGATGTGTTAAAATGATAATGGAGATCTTATATCGACTTCTGATATGGCTAAAATACAGCATATAAGTGGTGGCAATCTTCATTTTACAAGGTTGAATTAGTTTCGAAACTCATTTTAAGATGGAATCATAGTTTATCATAGCGAGGTTTGTTTTCTTTTGCTACCTCTTTGTTTTGTTTTTGAATGTTTGTTTGGTTTGTATGGGAAATGAAAATGACCGTGCATGCAAGGTTGTGTTTCTTCTCTTAGTTTTTGGTTGCGTGTTTTGAGACAGGTTGCTTTTGTTGGAAGTGTTAAAATGGGACAAAGTGCAGAATGTGGGTTATTTGGATGCTTGTTTGAGTTGGAAATGAAAATGGAAATGACCTTGCATTCATAGAACAGGGTTTTCTTTTGTTAGGAAAGTTAAAAGATAAGTTTTATGGTAGCCTTGGAAAATTTAAGAGTTTTTTTTCTCTACACATTAATTACTGTTGTCTCTTTTCTTTCTATCTCTATCTTTTGTGTACAAACTTTGTTCCTAAATACGTTACTCTTTAAATAATGAAATTAAAGGAAAGGATATGCATTGCACAGAGTTAAGAATAGTTGAATATGACTAGCTATGCAAAGTCCATAATTTCTGAAGGTGTGCTGCCGCAGATTTTGTGCTGTTTTAGTTTCTTTCTTTCTTGGGATGATTGCTTTGATTTTGATTTTTTTTCCATCCTCTTTGAAGCTAAACTACAACTTATGATCTTTTCTTTTTTGTATTTTTCCCTCATATGTATATATAATAATTTTTTATACATTTTTCAGGTGTGTCATGAGTACGGAGTAATACACAGGGACTTAAAACCTGAAAACTTCTTATTTACAGATGGAAGCGAGTCTGCATCATTGAAGTCAATTGATTTTGGCCTTTCCACCTTCTATGTGGAGGGTAAAGTTTAATTTATGGTTTTACTTTTGTACTAATAGTATTGTAATTGTTGCATGTCATTTTTCACTGTTTTGTTAGATAAATCAAATTAGCAACTTTACAATGTGGTGACAGGAGAAAGATTCAGTGAAATTGTTGGAAGTCCCTATTACATGGCTCCCGAGGTTTTGAGACGTAACTACGGACCAGAAATTGATGTCTGGAGCACAGGCGTAATTCTTTACATTTTACTTTGTGGAGTTCCACCCTTTTGGGCAGGTAAGCCCCATTTTGATTCATGCATGTGAACAAAGCAAGAAAAACGAAGTAAAAAGTTTCTTTTCAGAAAGTTTATTTCATGGAGTTCCTTCTGATAATGGGATTATAACTAGTACAGAATCTGAGGAAGGGATTGCTCAGGCGATCATCAGGGGTAAAGTAGACTTCACAAGAGATCCTTGGCCTAAAGTTTCAGATGAAGCAAAACATCTTGTTAAGCGCATGCTTGATCCAAATCCATTCACCCGGATAAAAGTTCAAGAAGTTCTTGGTATGTGGTACACTTTTTTATTGGTTAAATAAGACTCATGTAGAAAAGAAAGTGGTCAAATTTAAAAAATGTGTTGTTATTGTGAAAATATTAGATAGTCTCACACCATCTAATAATTTCTCATTGCTAACAGTCTTCTTCTGTATTTGTTGAAGTTAAATGTATCTGCTGCTTAAGAATTTATATATATATATATATATATATATATATATATATATATATATT